GACACTAACATGCCAGAGCAGCTGCAGAGGGATTGTCAGATTACCCTGCGAAGGGCCATGGCCTCTGGTGCCGCATGGATTTCAGAGAGCTACAGTACAAATGAGAGAAGTGGAGCAGGAGTGAAAGGTAAAGCGAAAATAGATACTGTGTAAAAGCACAAAGGAGGGAAAAAAAGAATCTGAAGTAGAACCACAACATTGTTGAGAAACATCCAGACTTCCGTTCATTTAGCAATTACTTCAGAACTCTGGGTCAGGTACTCTGAGAAGTGTTGGATATTCAGTGATGGACAAAGACAGAGCTTACATTGTAATGAGGGCAACAGGAAATGAATAAACTCAAAAGATACATTTAAAGGGTGATAAAGGCCCCAGAGTGGTGATGCACTGGGCTGGTAATGGCAAGGTCAGCAGTTTGAACCCACCAGCTGCCCCACAGGAGACAGACAAGGCTTTCTAGTCCCAGAACTACAGACTCGGAAACCCACAGAGACAGTTTATAGGACGGGAAACCCTGTCCTATAGGGTTTCCCTCAGTTGGAATGAACAGGATGGCACTGGGATTGGTATTTGGGATTTTTATTCTCCTGTCTGGCTAAAGGTCAGAAGTAAAGGTTTAGTTATTGGATCAGTCAAAGTCGATTAAGTAGAGACTCATGTTTTTGTTTTCTAAAGGACATCCAAAATACAGTAAATTTAGGCCAACATGAAATATGTCAATGCTTGTTATTTGCTCTGTAGTTTGGTCTTGGCTTTGTTGTGTCGTGTTTTATGGCGAACCATGGGCTTTTCTTTCAATAGTGCCCCTTGTCTTCTTTCTGGAATGAGCCACCTTCCTAATGCACTGTCTATGATTACCTATTTCTAGCTCCCTTCGATTTATCTGCAAATTTCTCCCAACGGGCTTTCTCAAGTTATTCAGCCTACGCAGTACAATGAGACAGCATCCCTGGAACATAATCTAGGTGAATGCATTTAAAGAGGAAAAAAAAATATTTTGATACTAAAACCAGAGCAGGAGGCCCTGGATGGTACAAATGGTTAAGTCCAAAAGGTAGCGATTCTAACCCATCCTGTATCTTCTGGAGAAAAAAGCCTGGCGGTGCCCGAGAGTACACCGCGTTGAACACCTGGTGGAGCATTCCTACTCTGCCCGCAGTCAGAATAGACTGTCTGCCAAGGGACAATAACAAAACATATATGTCACACACACCATAGTATGTAAATCGATGGTGGAATTGAGCAGGGAAATGGAGGTACTTTTTGCTAATATTTGTTGCAAAATACATTATTTGTGTGGGCCAAATGGACTGATTGGATGAGTTTGCCTTGAAAAGGCTTTAAATAAAAATGCACCATGCTTTATTAATGTTGTTTTTATATATTTGGTTTTGTTTGTAGAAATATACTTGTGACCCAGTTGCTGAACAAGGCATCCACCCTCCCCTGCCCCTTGACATGTATCTAAACCAAATATACAACACCTTGTCATCCAATTGATTGACTCATCACAACCCTGTACAGGGTTTATGAGAATGTAAATCTTTACCTGAGTACAGAGCCTTGTCTTCCTCCCTTTGAGCCATGGATAGCTTTGGACTGCCCACTTTGCTGGACACTAAAAATGTCAATGGAATTTAAGGAGGACTTACAGGTATTACATGAGCTGGCAGGGAATTGTGTGAACCGTGCCCACTGTAAGAGCTTAGAGGTAGGGTATGAGCCTGTGGCAACTATGGAGAATAGACTGCACACCAAATTTTTTTTAAAAGAGGACAACTTTGGGCTGGTCAAAGAAAACACTTCTGGAGCCTCTACTGGCCGACAGGCTCCTGTTTGGGGTTCGTTTTCCTGTTTGCCTCTGTAAAGATGCACACAACTTGGAAACAGTACAGGGCAATTCTCTGCTGTGCCAGAGGACACCAGGCGTCGCGATCCACTTGACAGTAGTGGGTTTTCCAAAGACATTTAAAGTTTATACAAGATGAATCTTTGGTAAAATTGAGGAAGGTTAAGTGGTGATTCTAGACATTTCAACATTGTTATTCCTGTTATTTGAAATAGATGAGATCCTCCCCCCCCCACCCCCAATGATGACTGACAAATATAAACAGATGAAATCATTTTGGATATATATATATTATATATTATTTTATATATTATATATTATAATATTATTATATATTATATTATTATATATATTATAATATATATATATATAAACTCATTGCTAGCAAGCCAATTCTAACTAATAGAGACCATATAGTGCAGCGTCAAACTGCCCCTGTGGGCTTTCAAGGCTATCAATCTTTGTGGGAGCAGAAAGCATCATATTTTACCCTCAGAGCAACAGGTGGTTTCCGTTTGCAGCCCCGTTTAGAAATGTATTCTATTGGTAGAAATGACAATGAGTTCCCCAATGTCTGACAATGTTTTTAATTTTCCTTACTTGTGTCAGTACATTAGTTTAACAGTGTGAAGAAGAGGAATAGTTTAGATACAGAATATTAAAGGATTTCATGAACATTAATATACCAAGCTAACCCTTGGCACTGTGGGCTAGACTGGGCTGCTAACAGAAACTTCAGAGGTTCAAATCTACCATCCACTCCATAAGAGAAAGATGAGACTGTGCTCTAGTAAGGATTTCAGCCTGCGAAACCCTATATAGGGTAGCTATGAAACGGAGCCAACTGGATGATAGTGGGGTTTTGAAAATAAACCACTTTTTAAAGCAATGACATTATTAAGTTAAAGGTATCATATTTTAAATGCCATCTTGCATTGGGCACATATGTAAAACCATTAAATTCATTAAGGTTTTGTTTTAAACATGCTGGTGTGGTGTGGATGGATGTTTTCAGAACAGATACTGTGCCATCGGACCATTTCCAGGTTTACTGATATTAGTGTCAATCCCTTCATTGTGACAGCAGGTTTCCCTTTCTTCCCAGGGTTTCCCCATGGTTCTCCTTTCCTGCCTTCCAAGCTCTGCTTTTGGGAAAATGTCGCCCTTTTAATCCCTTATGGTTTCTTCTTTTGAAGAATACATTTTTCAGGAATGCTATTGTTCATTTTATAGGTCTGTCTATTGTTTAGCAGAAAAGGGATCCCTGGTGGGGGAGCTCATTTCAGGTTTGAAGGCATTGTCTTTTATCTACGATTTAAAAATTAAATTAAAAACTGCACTTTTTTAATGATTTGGAATGTCTTCCAACATTTTCTCCCCGTACCCAGGCCCTTCTATTGGGATCCTGATCAGCTCGGCCACTTTCATGTTCGTCTAGTCTCAGGCTAGTGGAGACTTGAGGTTCACTGACCCTTTGTCCTTGAGTCTTTGATTTTCACTTTTCTTTGCTCCATAGGGGAAACCAATGGTTACATTGCAGATGGCTGCTTACAAAGCTTTTAAGACCCCAGCTGTTACTCTCCCTTGTGTTCTGTAGGATATTGCCTTCAGGAACTATAGCATGCCAATTGACGTATGTGTCTCCCAGCCCTATATGCTTGACCCTGCCTGCGTATTTACTCAGGACCTTAAGGTGTTTGGGTAAGGCTAAGAGGTTTACAAATGGGCCTGGTCTCTCAGAAGTGAAAGCAGAGGCAGGGAGTCAAGAAAAGTAAACACAGTGCACTGAGCTATCACATGCTGTCAGAAACAAAGATGCACATAAAGTGCTTTGGGAACCGAGTCCTCTCTGTGGGGAACACTAAGAGAAGGAACCATCATCTCCAAGTTATCACCACGTGCCTAGAGTAATTGGTAGCACTTCCTAGATGACAGATCTAGTAAAAAGAAGGGCGGTCTCCCTTCCTTCCTGCAGTATCACTAGCTTGTTCCTTAAAAGTAATATGTAATCAGATTGTCCTGTCTCTAAAAAATTGTGATTTTTGCATAAAAAATACACATATCAGATAACAAAGTCAGCCTCAATTATGCATTTATTTTACTCAATTGGTATTAAAAATGGAAAGTTTTAATTACAACAAGAAACAGAACATTTTAAGTTTTCAGCTAAAGCCTTTCAGTGAAAGCTTTAGGACAAAACTAACCTCAAGATAATCAAGAAAACTCCAAGTTAGTATTAACTAGAACTGCCATACATGTAGAATTATGGAACCATACAGGGAGAAGTTTAAGGAACCTAAGGGAAAGCTAAGGGTGGGGGAGGTAAAAGAGGTAGCAGAAAACAGAAACTGTGTAGAGTGAATTACCCATTTAAGATATGAAAACCTTGCAAAGTCAAAAAAAATCTGTCATCTCCTTGTATGTTATTGATTTATCCCCGCCCCCTTCTACAACCAGATACTGTTTTTTCTATGAAGAAAGATCATGTTACTTAGGAATTCATGTTTCTGTTAATTCTTTTTGTCTTAATTTCTTTGTGTCCACATCCCTGATTACAAATAAATTGATAGCTCTAAAGGAATGTAGTAAAGCCTACCTTTTTATTGACTTTTAAATACCATCTCATGGGTATTTGAGAACTAAAATGATTTTATTATTTGAAAAGAGTAAGGTAAATGAGTAAGCGGCTAATTGAGGCTCAACATCCCCAAAGAAACTGTTTCTACCTACTTGGGCCTCAATTGTGAAAAAATGGTGAGAATAGGAAAGGAGACAACCAAAGTGCACATTAGAGGTTGAGACTTCCGGTGTCTGACTCTTGAATCTGGCTGGCCAGAGGGGCAGCCCATGTGCATGGAAGCTAGTTAGCGGACGCCAGAGAACTTCACCTCCACTTGTCATGAAAAGCCCAACTCTGCATCCAAATCTGACCCACTGCTCTCTGCTACTTTAGGAAGAACGCGAGAGCACCACTCTCACTTCTATTCAGGGCTCAGTCTCCTGAGAAATGGGAAGGTAATGAGAAATCAGGGCACACCTAACAAAGTAAACTGGTTAAAACTACCTTTTTTCTTAGGTACCTTATTTCTTAGTCATTTCTTAGGGCCACCATGGGACTGTGAATCTCTGATGGGCAGAATAAATGAAGCGGTTTCAAACTAGTGCATTTATTCATGTTTCAGGTTACATCACTTTAGAAAAAAGACAATATTGATACCACACGTTTAGTTAACCTGTTAACAGTAACATTTCAAAATAATAGCACTAAACCATTTAACCTAATATAGCAATTACCCCCAACATAGAAATTCAAATTCTAGAACAGTTTACCAAAAAAAATTACATAGCTTATAATTTTGAGGTTTCTTTATAACCAAAAAGTCACACCCTTTGTTATCAGGTTGATCTGACTCCATAGCAAGGCAGAGTAGAACTGCCCCACGGGATTTCCAAGGCTTTCAAATGTGATGGAGGCGGACTGCCAAATCTTTCTCCCAAGGAGTGGCTGAAGGATGTGAACCTTTAACATTTCAGTTAACAGCCTACCACTTTAATCACTGCCCTACCAGGCTTTCTCTTACTACACAATCAGAAACATCTTAAACTATCTTAGCAAATTAACACGGTAACAGGCCACCAGTTAGTATTTTGTGTAGTTTTTAGAGTTTCGCCGATATTGTAAAATGTAGTTAACATATTGACTCTTCTTATACTGCTGTACATTCTTTATCTTACTGGATACATTATTTGTTGTTTTTGTATATTTATGTTGACTTAAAGTGAACAAAATTGTCCCCTCACCCTCTTATCCCTCAGTTAAATTTTAATAAGCAAAGTAGAAAGAAAAAGACAGAAGATCATATTAGTCTCTAGGGAGAAAATTTTATCATTTCAGTGTGGGTATACACAAGGCAGCTGTTGACGCCCACACCTGATGCTACAAAATGATCTGAGACTACTGACAAGTTATTTTCTAAAGTCAAGTAGCTCCAGTGGATTTCTGGATTTGCTCCTTTAAGATGAGAATACTCTGCCTTTGCTCGGGGGGCAGCATGGCAATCTGATCTGCAGTCAGTTGAAGAACCTGCATGATCAAAGCTGCTTTTTCTTGATCCTGTGGAGTTACTTGACTCTGCCCAGGGCTAAAACTGCTGGGTTGGCCTCCACCTTGTTTGCCTCCTCCTTGCATGCCTGCCCCCTGCATGCCTGCTCCCTGCATGCCTGCCCCCTGCATGCCTGCTCCCTGCATGCCTGCCCCCTGCATGCCTGCTCCCTGCATGCCTGCTCCCTGCATGCCTGCTCCCTGCATGCCTCCTTGCATTCCTGCTCCCTGCATGCCTCCACCTTGCATGCCTGCTCCCTGCATGCCTCCACCTTGCATGCCTGCTCCCTGCATGCCTCCACCTTGCATGCCTGCTCCCTGCATGCCTCCTTGCATTCCTGCTCCCTGCATTCCTGCTCCCTGCATGCCTGCCCCCTGCATGCCTGCTCCCTGCATGCCTGCTCCCTGCAAGCCTCCTCCTTGCATTCCTGCTCCCTGCATGCCTCCTCCTTGCATTCCTGCTCCAGGATTTCCTACCCCTGGAATGTTTGGGACCTGTCTAGGGCCCTGAGGCACACCTGCCCCCATATTAATGGGACCAGGCCCGGGCAGTCCACTGGTCATTGGGCCTCTAGGACTGGGGCCAGGGCCCCGTATCTCCATTCCTCTTGCATCCATTCCTCTCGTTTCCATTGTGCAGGTCTCCATTCCTCTTCTCTCCATGACTCGTGCTTCTAGGACCTCGGTTTCCATGACTCGAGTCTCCATCCCTCGAGAGTCTCTGCCACCTCTGCCATCCATGGGGAGTCCCCTTTGATCTATCATGGGTCCTCTGGGCTCTCCAATTAGCATTCTGGGGTCTGCTATTGGCCCGCCACGCATCTCATGTGAGGAAGGGGCCCGGCTGTCATGACCACCGGCATGGTGCATGGGAGGACCCTGATGGGCTGGGCCCAGGTAACCTCTAGGCTCGACTTCTCCGGTGACTGAAAGCAAAGTCCCTCCACGCGGGTCATTTGGAGCATCTCCTAAAAGTCCTCTAGGTGGTATGCCACCTGCAGCCATGGGTCCACGAGGTATTGGAGCTCTGGGATCTGTCATTTGCACTTGTCCCCGCTCTAAAGGCACTGGGCCAACTCCTGGCATTCCAACTTGAGGCTGCATCCCTCCTCCAGGAGGTAAGGAGCCAGGACCAGGGCCAGGAATAGGCGCTGGGATTGGGCCTGGGGCTGGCAGGCCGCTCTGGATAGGAGTCTGCATCAGAGGAGGTATGTCTTTCACAGGCCTTCTGGCCAAATGCTGGGGCGGAGCGGCTGGAGGAGTCTGCTGGTTCAGCAGCACATTAGGCCCTGGGCAGAGGCCTGGTCCAGGGCCAGGGCCAGGCCCAGCACCAGGGCCAGGCCCAGCAGCAGCGACAGATTGCGATTTGCCAGGGATAAGAGGTGTGACGTGGATCTTACGATGCAGAATTTTCAGCGCAATCTCAGGATCCATAATTCTCATCACGACTTGGGCCTGCAACAGTGCATAAGCCAGTTGCGGGTTCTGCAGAAGCATGTTTCGAGCTTCCTGGTGACTGTTTTGTACGCAGAGCTTCATCTGCTTCATCAACTCAAACATCTGCTCCGGAGGGAGGCTGGCGACGGCTCTAGTGATGGACTCTGGGGCATCTTCCGGATCGATAGGGTCCCCGTAGGGTGAGTCAACGATGGGCGCGGCAGGCCCTAGACTCTTCAGCTCCTCCTTGTTTTTCTCACTGGCAGCATTGTCCACCCGCAGCGCTCTCCCGCTGAACTCCCGCCCGTTAAGGTTCCGCATGGCACTAAGCGCCGTCTCCTGGTCCTGATACTCGCAGAAGCCATAACCCTTGGGTTTCCCCGTCTCTCGGTCGTACACCAGCCGGAAACTGACCACAGAACCAACCTCAGAGAAAATGTCCTTCAGCTGCTCCTCCGTGGCCTCGTACGGAATGTTCCCCACGAACACGGAACGCAGCGATCGATCCATGGCGGGGTCTCTCACCGCCAGACTCGACATGATTCACGCTACGCCTTCAGAGAGCGGATGCCTCTCCGGGTCGTGCTCCTGCGAGTCACTTCCGGCAAACGACGGAAACCGCACTCGAACTCCGTGCGGAAACGTCTCGCGGGATTAAGGCGTTCCGTCGGTCGGCGGAAGCTGCGCGTCGGCGTTCCAGCGAATGTCTTCCCGCCGCCGGGCCTGGCTGCTGGCCGGAACGCGGCCTTCCATCCCCAACTCTAACTGGGTGTCGTTTCCCAGGAGCCCCGCTTCTTGGTGTTTGTTGACCACAGTGAAGATGGACGCAGAGCTTGCTCTGGGGTAACCGGGAGAGACCGTCCTCCGTGACGTCAGGGCGTTTTCCCGTCCGTTCGACCGGCAGCCGTTTCTCCTTGTTGCAGGGTATCCCGTCACATTTAAGAATCAAACTCCACACTTACACTTTGAAAGCAGTCGTTGCAAAGCACATTTGAGATTTGCGCCTTCAATTTCGGAATCGTTTCTCGGAGGGGGGGAGGGGCATAACTGCTCAGTAACGGGCTGATCCCGTTTGTTGGCTCTTCCCTCCCCCATCCGGGAGTCTTCATATTCTGTATTTCAAAATATCCGTGGGAAAGCGCCATTATCTTTATTTATTTATTTATTTTTTCGGTTTTTTAATTTAATTTAATTTAATTTTTTTTATTTAACATTTTATTAGGGGCCCATGCAACTGTTATCCCAATCCATACACACATCAATTGTGTAAAGCGCATCTGTACATTCATTTCTCAAAACATTTTCTCTCCATTTAAACCCCCGACATTAGGTCCTCATTTTTCCCCACCCTCCCTGCTCCCCCCTCCCGCATGAGCCCTTGATAGTTTATAAATGGGTATTTTGTCATATCTTGCCCTGTCCAACGTCTCCCTTCACCCACTTTTCGGTTGTCTGTCCCCCAGGGAGGAGGTCACACACAGTTCCATGTAATCGGTTCCCTCTTCCCTACCCATTCTCCCTTTACCCTCCCTGTTTTGCCACTCACACCACTGGTCCTGTAGGGCTCATCCGTCCTGGATTCCCTGTATTTTCAGTTCCTATCTGTACCAGTGTACCTCCTCTGGTCTAGCCAGTCTTGCAAGATAGAATTCGAGTCATGGTGGTGGGAGCGGGGAGGAAACATTTAGGAACTAGAGGAAAGTTGTATTTCTCATCATTGTTACATCGCACCCTGACTGGCTCATCTCCTCCCCGAGACCCCTCTGCAAGGGGATCTCCATTGGCCTACTAATGCGCCATTATCTTTAAACACCATTTTCCCCACCAACTTTTTTTAAGCTCGTGTGTGTTTGTGTGTGTGTGAATTGCATTGTATGGCTGCAAAATAATATATTTAACCATTCTCTTATAGATAGGTATTTCGAATTTAGATTGGTTCTAATGAACTGTGAGACAACGAGTTCACCACCTCTCCCATGAAAGGAGAACAACTGCCTAATTTTGTAAAGGAATGCTGGTGTTAGGTGTGTCGGCTAACCCAAAGGTCTAGGGTTTTAATAAACCAGCACCGGAGGCTTGTGTCAAGATTTTCAGTCTTGAGAACCTATGGGTGTCTGACCTTTCCAGTAGGATGCCCATGAGTCACAACTTGTAGGGTTAGGGGTTAGTTTTGTAGACAGGAATTTAAATATAATTGAATGTGGAGTTTTATCCCCATTTTCTAGATGAGAACACTGACCTTGGAAAAGGTTAAACTGAAAACTTGGAGAGAATTAAGAAAATGGGCCAAGGTCATGAAGGCAAGAGGCTGGCATCACTCCTGAGCTGTGCTGTCCCATATAGAGACTACTAACCATATGAGCATATTGGTTATTTGAAATGTGACTACTGTGAGCGAGGAATTAACGTTTTGCATTCTATGTATTTAATGTAAACACTTAGTCTCCCTTCAGTTGGCTATTGGGAAACTTTTAACCATGTTTGGAGTTGACGCCACTGAAAAGGTCCAGGATGGCCCTCGCTGTTAGCCAAATACAGAGACCAGGTGGCTTTGAGTTTATTTCTAAAAGAGAAGGAAGGAAGCATGGGGTTGAAACCTCCCAAAATTGCTTCAGAGATTTAGTGAGAAGAACACACATTATATACCATGTGGCAAGTTGAGGAAACATCTAGCCAGCTGCATTGCTTCAGCAAAAGAGCGCGGTTCACAAAAATGGGAGGCATCCTGTCACTCCCTCATGGGCTCAGGCTCTGTTGCTTATCTAAATGGCCTTGCTTGCCCAAAAAAGGTTTTGTTCCTCTGAGATTGATGAATTAGAACATTCTTAAGTTTAAAATAGAATTTTATTGCAACTAGGGACTTGGGAGAGTGGATCTCAAACCACATTTCCAGCATTGGTTAACAGCAGGTTAACGCTATTAATCCCTGTATCTGAGCGAGTGTGAATACTTTAGCTTTGAGAAATTATATCTAAGTATAAAACAAGGATTTCCAAAGAACATTTGGCATTGTAATAGAGGTGTGCTACCCATGTAAAAGAAGCCCTGGTGGCGTAATCATAATGAATCGGGCTTCTAATCTCAAATGGTTAACAGTTCAAAACTGTCAGCTGATGTGTGGGAGTTGGACAGCTAACTACAAGGTCAGCAGTTCAAAACTGCTAGCTTTTCCAAGGGAGAAAGATAAGACTCTCAACTCCAATAAAGATTTACAATCTCAAAAACCCAGGGGGGTGAGTGAGTTTAATTTTGAATTTTTTAAATCATATGCAAGATTTTGAAGACTAAATACAAAAAATGTAAAAATAATCTCACTAGTAATACTATATTGTGTATTTGTTAAAATAATATATCATATTGTGTTAAGTGATATACACATGTAATAGTAAAATTACTCTTCATTTGGCTTTTTAAATATGGATACTAGACAGTTTTTAATTACCTATGTAGGTTGCATTTTTTGTTTCTGCAAAGTGTTTGACTCCTTGGCTATGAAGTATTTTATTCTTCGTGCCAACCAAAAAGAAAATAGGTTTCTAAAACAGGACTGGATATAGCTCTCCTTCCAAGACCCAGGGCAATGTACATCACCAGTGTTGCAACTGCTCTGATGTGTCCAGGGGTTCCTGGTCTCTGGAAAGGCGGAATGCCCTCGTGGACCATGAAAGGGCAAGCAGATGGAGTTTATTTAGTAAGGAAAGAAAAGCACATAAAGCAGCAGGTGGGGACTTGAGTGTGTTGCTGCTGAATGATCTGTGTTGAGGGATTTTTATCAGCTGTGGGGTACTTGGTACTGTCTGTATCTCCAGATTACTAATGGACCAATCCGGGGACTAGTTTTATGTCTCAGGTCCAATCAGAAACCGGGTCTTGCTCTCCTAAGGCTGGGTCTTGCCTGGGCTTGGACAGGGAAGCACACATGCATAGGTACATGAGTCTTAGATATGATGTCCTTGATGTTTAGAATCAGCCTAGGGGTCTGATGCCTGCAGGTATAAGATGAACTTGTCCCAGGCTGTTGAGAGCACCCTTCCAGGTATCCTGCCACCACTCCCAAAGCTTACCCTCCTCAGGGCTTTTCTCCTCCTCTCTTCTCCTCTTCCCCTCCCTCTCCCCTCCCCATCCCCTCTCTGTTACAAGGTCACCTACAATGCCTCGCTCTTCCTTCGGAGCTACAGAATGTCAAACTGCTAATGATGTGGGGACAGTTTTGTTGTTTTGTTTGTTTTAGGGTGTGTGGGAATGTTTGCGTGTGTTTACTGCAGAGGAGAGGGAGGAAAGGGAAGAGAGAAGACGGAATGTTCTGTCAATGAAGAGTCCATATATAACTTTTCAAGAGAAGCTGTTGCTTTTACACAAAGACTGTCAAAGACAATTTAGACATGGGGTGTGTGATTGATGTGTATTAAACCTATGAATCACAAGAATGGTAATGTATCAGAATAGTTGATCGAAGGTTGCATACCTTAGTCTGACAGTGAGAGGGGATGTTTGGTTTTGGTTTTAACTGCTGGGGCTGATAGTCACTAAGTAAAAAGTTCTAACATTGTTCCTTCTGTGAGAGTCATTTGGAATCCAAGATTGGTTCAGTCAGATTGCTGGGCCTCATTCTCTGTTGCCCCAATTTTAGATTTAGGGGGTGTGAAGTGGGGCAAGGAAATTTGCCTTTCTAGCAAGTTTTTAGGTGGTGCTAATCCATCAGGACCTGGAACTACTCTTTGATAAGCACTGATACAAACTTCAAGTGTTTTTCCTTCGTTTTCCTCAAACTAAACTAATTTTCATAGCCTCCATTCTTTCTTTGGTTGTGAGTGCATTCTTGTAAGCTGATGCAGTGTGGCTAGGACAAGCTGATCTGCTGACGATACTAGCATCAGGAGTGTCCGCATCATGGGGAAATTACTGACAAGTCAGAGTTGATCTCTACACTAAACCTGAATGTGACCTTCCTGGTGGCTATGGTGCTAGAGACCTTTGTTTTAACAAGTTCTCAGGTAATTTTGATGCCTGCTAAAAGATGCACAGCCACTAGTCTAAAGGATGATGGGCAATAAGAGTTACATGTCAAGTAGGTAGGTGGATAAGATAGGTGTGTAAGAGCAAAACCGGGACTCCAGAAGGACCGGGCGGCACACTTGGGGAACTTGAAAGAGGGAAAATCTATTAGCTAGTGACCCATAGGAACTAGTGTTCCAGAAGGCCTGGGCTCTGAATGGCCTGTGGATGTAGCTTTTATACTTTATCTGCACGAGGAGTGTCACAGAAGCAGAATAGGCAGGGGTTCCTAGTGCAGACATATTTGTTAGTAAAGAAGGGAGCAGGGTCGGGGGATGGGTACATTCCTAGAATGAGTAAGTACAGGAGGTGAGGCAGTGATTTGTGTGTCTTTTCCAATGGTTAAAATTCCCCCAGGATTTTCTTTACAGATGGAGGCAGAAAGATATAAACAGATACTTGGTGATCCTTACCACTGTATTTTCTGCATGCAAGATAAAGTTTAGCATGGGAAGGTTCTCCTTATTAGTTGCATGAATCATAGTAAGTGACTTCAAATCTCACTTACATATAAATCCCTCA